CTGATTAGCAAGACCTTGCACCAATCCCCTTAGCCTGTCCTTCTTTAGAATGGAAATGAGGATACCAACTTATTACAACTGTTACGCAGATCACATGGACCCATGAAAGAAAACACTTGGTTTAAGAAAGCATTTTCACTCTTTTTCCTGCTCCCTTCATGGGGAATGCAGTTTCTTCATACTTAAAGTATATGGAAGTGGAGGTGGGAAATGGGAAAGGGTAGAGAGAGAATGGGAGAGGGAAAGGGAGGGGGGAGAGGAAGAAGGGAAAAGAGAGTGTGTGAGAGGAAGAAAGAAAAACACCGCTTTGAAGATTCCCCAAGAAAGGCCAGCCTCCCTGAAGAATGGGATTAGTTGTGTTTTGCTGCCCCCTGGTGGTAACTATGAAGTTGAAGTTTTTTTAAAAACCATTTTTATTTCATATTGGTTTGTTTACATTGTGTTTCACACTATTCTTCATTCACATTATGTTTCATAAAATCATTCCCATGCATTGCTTTATAAAATTAATCACCACAGGACTCTGCGCATCATTACTTTGTCTTTGCAGGTCCCGGCCGGATCTTTCCCATTTCCTTTACCCCTCCCTCCACCCAGCAATTGTGCAACCCTGTGGTTTCACCCCTGCCCAGCCTCACTGCTGTCATCTCATCCTTTCCCCCATGGGTCTCCATACATGTTTTACTAGATATCCACGATGAGGTTTTAAAAACAAAACCAAACCTACATGACCTAGCGGGGAAGGAGTTGTGCTGCGAGCCTAAAGGCAAGTGGTTTGAATCCATCAGCTACCGCAAGGGAGAAAGAGGAGTTATCCCCCCCTCTTGTGATTTACATCCTGTGAAAACCTGCTGGAGGGTCGGCTGTGAGTCCATTCTGACTTGACAGCACATAACAATAAATCTGTGGCTAAATTATTATCGAGTAGAGCGACCCCCATAGGGTTTCTGAGGCTGGACTCTTTAGAGAAGGACATGGCCACACCTTTCTGTCTTCTTCTGTTGTACAGAAGAGTCAGCTCTTACTCACAACAACTCTAGAAATAATAGAACAAAACTCGGCCTGAGCCTACACCATCCTTACAGTCTCTGCTGTCCTTCAGCCATTGTTGGATTCACAATGCCAAGTCATTTCATGGAGGGTTTTCCTTTTTTAAAATGTTGGTTTTTTTTTTTTTAAATTGACCCTCTACCTTTCCAAGCTGTTATCTCTCTCTAGGGCCTGGGCCTTCTGACAACATGCCCAAAGTGAGTGAGATGAAGTCTCATCATCTTTGTTTCTAACGAGTGAGCACTCTGGCTTCACTTCTTCTGAAACAGATTTGTTTATTCTGGTTACTGACCGTGTGGTCAAGATTCTTGGCCAATGCTACAATTAAAAGTCAATCATTCTGACTCAGTCTCCTTTCTTCATTGTTCAACTGTCACATGCAACTGAAAAGCAACTGAAGACTACCACGGCTTCAGTCAGGTGCACCCAGTCTTATTCTTTTTCCCTTCTATTTATGTTATTTGAATGAGAGTTTACAAAGCACAACGGTTTTTCATTTGATCATTCATACACATTTTGTTTTAGAATATTAATTAAAACACCCAGAATGCATTGTCATCCTCTTTTGTATGTTGCCTTTCCTTTTACCCATCTTAGTAACATCTATTTATCAGAGAGCTGGACAAGGACTAAAGATGACAGAGAAAGAATAGATGCCTTCGAGTCGTGGTGATGAAGAAGAGTCTTAAATGGAACATGGACTGCCAAGAAAACAAGTAAGTCTGTCACAGAGAGGGTGAAACCAAGTTTCTCTTGGTGGCTAATTTTGAAGTTCTGTCTCACATACTTTGGGCAAGTGGCCAGGAGGCACCACTCCTTGGAAAGGGGCATCAGGCTTCGAAGGGTGGAGGGACAGCACAGGACTGGAAGACACCTGATGAGACTAATTGATACAGTAACTGGGGAAACAGGGTTAGGTGTGTTGAAATTAATGAGATTGGCTGAGGACAGGGCAGGGATCAAAAGTGTTGTTCATAGGCTCGCTAACTCAATAGCACATAACTGTTCGACTCAGTATAGCTGAGACTCCAATCGGGTTTCGGAAGCTGCAAATTACACTAGAGGAGAGTTAGCCATCTTTCTCCTGATGAGCGCTGGTGGATTCAAACCGCCTGTAAGAGGCTCCAACTTTGAGTTATGAGCAGAACTTCCTACAGACTAGAGGGCACCCTGCCATAGAGAGTGACCACCAAGCTTGAGGTGCCCTAGAGCTGTGCGAAAGGTGCAGAGAGCACGTGGCTACTAATGTGCATACCTGGAGCCTTGCTGGGCTTGGACTCCAGACGCCGTCCAACTGCAGGCAAAGGCCCCAGCCAATGACTGTGCCTAAACCAACCCAGGGCTGGCGTTGGCGCGTCTCCTCCCAAGGCAGCACAGTCCACCGGCGCCGAGAAATGAGAATGAGTCTCCGAAAGTGGACGTGGGCAGGCGCCGTGGGCGCCACGTGTCAACTGGCCCTGCGTGGCCTCGGGGGAGCTGAGAGGGCAGCTGGTGGGAGATGGAAGGGGCTTTGGAGAGGCACTCAGCTGATCTCCAGGCAGGTCTGAAGAACAAGGGTGGCCGCAGGTGTGGACACTTGCAGTCCCGGTTTTCTGCGCTCCCATAATGCCGCCAGCTGAGCCCCGCGGGCCTTCACAGTCAACCGCCCTGTCTGCCTTCTTAATTGATATTTTCTGTCCCTTTCTTGCTGCACTTAGTGTTTGAACTACTTTATCACTTCCTTTGAAACTCAGCGTCCCAAGATTATCATCCAGATTTCTTCTCTTTGTTTCCTGGCTTCGCAGCGGGAGGGAACCTGGAACCTGCTTGCTAGGTTTTAAAATGCCGTTCCTGCCAGTAGTGCATTCAAATCACCAACCTTTTGATTAGGGGCCTCACATTTTAACCACTGTGTCAACAGGGCCCATCCAGTCACACTTGACTGGATGATCCTCTAGAAGGTTTTCACAGGCTATAAATTGCACAGGAGGTGATTGCTTTCTCTCTGAGCAGCTAATGGATTAGAACCACCTGCCTTTGTGTTCACAAAGGCAGCCCTTACCACCAGCGCTCCCTCATGAGGTAGAGAGCATTGTGTTAATCGCAGCCATAATGGAGCAAATGGCCGCTTTCATCCAGCTTTCACAGTAAGGGTTGCAGCCACCTTGACAACACCTGACTGTGAGCTGTGGGAGGGAAGGAAGTTGTTCTTGTTAGGTACCATCCAGTAGGGTAGGACTCAAAGCGACACTATGAACAACTGATCTGAACTCCATCCTATCCTGTGCCATCCTGTGTCGTTGGAGAGGGACATCATGCTTGGAAAACAGGGGTTTTAGTCAAAGACAGGAAGACTCTCAGCCAGATGGATTGACTGTCTGCAGCAGTGGGCTTAGGCGTGGCTGCGATGAGGATGAGGTGAGGAAGAGATGTTGCTCAATGTGTACTGACATTGCTGTTTGGAGTGGTACCATTTTTTTGGGGGGGGGCAGATCATTGGCAATAAAAACCCAAAACTCAGCACAAAAGGGAAAAAGGGAACTCTGGTGGCTGAGTGATAAGCTGCACTGACAACCCAAAGGCTTGATGACAAATTTCATGTTGTCTATTTATACAATTTTTTAAAAATCTGGTCCCCCCCACGCTCCTTACATATATTAGTATTTTTAAATTAAAATCAGGATACCTTCTCTAGCAATGAGACAGAATATTTGATAAGGAAACTCAAGCCAGACTATTCATTATATCATCTGTTCACTTTTTGACAGACATTTGGACCAATTTCCTAATTAGCCTATAATCATGTGTCCTCAAAAAACAGGTCACTAGCTGTTGGGCCAGCTGACTAGGATCCATTTCATAATCAGCCTCCAAAAGCCCAGCTGAAGTTAACAAGTTTCACTTCAAGCCTTTTAATGTTAGTTGCTGCTGTCAAGAAATGCTCATGTGGGATGTCATCTTCCACTCTCTTATTTCTGCTCTAGATGTGGGGTACAGTGTGGCCTACAAGATTACAGGCATCAGGGTGAGGCAAAACTTGAAGTTGAAAATGGGGCTGAAACCTCTCAACACTAATAGGATCCTTGGCAAATCATCTTGAGTCAGGAAGGTGGGGAAGATTTCCCAGGTTTACATCCACACGGTCACACTGAGGATTGTATGTATTCCTTTTCGGAAAAGGATTTGGCAAGTACTCAATACATTAAAAGGGAGCGCTAGTGGCTTAGTGGTAAGGAGTTAGGACTGCCAAACCTAAAGTAAGCAGTTTAAACTTACCAGCTGCGCAACAGGAGGAAGATGGGCAATCTCCTGCCCAACTTATGTTGTACTGTAGAGTCAGAACCAACCCAGAGCTGACCCTCGGGCAGGTTTTCAGAGGCAGTCAATCGCAGGGGAGGAGACTGGCCATCCTTCTCCTGCAGAACAGCTGGTGTCCTCAAAATGCATGCCTTCCAGACTGCAGTGCAGCTTCTTGCCGCTAGGCCAGAGCTCATGCAATTTATGGCTTTTGAGAAGCTGCTAGAAGGCCAGCTATGAGTCTGTTCTCAAGCCACAGCATCCATTAGAAAATATTTCTCTTGAATGGGGAGCAACTGAGCATGAACAATGCTTGCTACTCAATGTGGTCTAGGGATCAGAACACAGGTGAAGTTGGGGAGCTTGACAGAAAGCTTGGGCCCCATCCTAGAGATACTGAATCAGAATTTTCATTTCCACAAGACCTCAGTGATCATGAGTGGAGCCTGAAATGCTGCAGTTTTAACCAATTTCATATGCACAATATAGACTTAAATGAGAAAACTGAATATTCAAAGATGGCATCTTGACAAAACAGTTGTGGCCAAAGATGGATCTGCAAACCTTCTGTGTCTTCCCTGAGTGTTTGCTGCATTCAGACAAGAGCAACTTTCTTGGCATGAAACTGAACTCTGATGAGGATTTACTCAAGTACAGACAAGGCAAACCATTAATCTGAATAAATAAGCATCGATTTTATTGAATCATGAATAATTTAAGACTGGTACAATCATCAGCTTTATTCTCTATGATGTGGGGCATGATCTCCAATCGATCATTGGCAAATTCAAAACCTCATGACAAATGAAAATTAAATAGGAAGGGGAGGAGGGAGGGAGAAGACGGGGAGGGAAGGAGGAAGGAGACATACCGTACACAAAATACTCAATTCCTAGTTTTCTCTTTAAAAATGGCTAGAAAAAATTCATCAAAATGCAGCACTTTAATCAATTATTTACATTTCTATGTTACAATGAAAAAATGTACATCTTATAGAACATATTTCATAAACCACTCCATTGGAAGTAACTAGATCAAAACTGCAAACCTTCCATTCAGTATCCACAAAGTTGGATTATTTTTTTTTTCCTTTTGAAGTAGATTCGCCATGATTGGACAAATTTGAATACACAGAACTCTGATGTTTAAGCATTAACAGTAAAAGAAACACTGTTCCCAAGGTATAACAAAGGTCTAGATGAGTCCTTTCCCTTATCCCTTCCCTACCCCACACCCACCCCACCCCACCCCCTAAATTAAAAGGTATTCTCATCCATTTATGACCTGTATAATTCTTGGCAGTTTGGAAAGAAAATATTTGGCTTCCATTGGTAACTCAACATAAATGTTGCATAGAATTTCATACATTTCAAAATTAGCCTAACTGTAGAAAAAGGCAAAATGGAAGCATCGTAGAGCCCTAAACGAGCATAAAGTCACTTTGTCAAAGGTGAGTGACACTAAAGTAAAAATATGACCAAAATAAGAAATGCGCACATTAGACAACCCTGCTTCCCGAAACTTTAGGAAGGACACGGAGTTGTGGATTCTACAAGGTTTATGCTACTTGGAATTGCCACTCACTCAGTGGGCTGCACCAGGTCCAGAACCCCTGTTTCCGAGCCTGGACCCAGAGTGAGGGAAGTCTGTTACAGAAGATTGCAAAAAGAGGGTGTCCTAAAAAAAAAGAATTTTAAACAATATCGGCAGGTGTCTACTCACAAGGTGACTGGGGAAACTGCCCACAAGGAGAAAGTTAATTTTATCTCCTACCAAATTCACAGTATAAGAGTATAAGGACATTGTTGGGAGATAAGTTGTCTGAGAAGGGCCACCCTTTGGGTTTACCAGAAGGCTCTTAGTTTGGCTGCCTGGTCACAGGCTAAATATATGATGTGAAAATTTTATTAAGAACAGAACCAGCCACACATGCACACACACACAGTTGCCTAATGACAGAGGTGCTGAACAGTCTGAGTTTACTGAGATTAAAGTAGGAACAGAGTGGGAAGGGTTTGCAATCACTAGTTAGAGGGGCACTTCCTCTTTTTCCTTACAAAGAGGAAGAAAATGGTTATCATCCACTGGGATGTGAGCAGTTTCAGGTCAAGCTATTGTGGGAAGAAGAGGGGGAAAACGCTAGAAGTTCTACCCACAGAAACAGAAATGCAAGAGACTAAAAACCCTGATCATAACAGAGAAACCCCACTGGGACCCAGTAAAGATTTTTTTACAAAACAGAAACAAACAATGCAAAGATTTACCACACTCTAGAAAGAAAATATCAGTGTTTTTGAAGACAAGGCCAGCTGGGTTTCTATCAGGGTGTTTATTGGCAATGTCATGTAGACGTGTAGGAAAGATTGCCTACAGACCGATTATTCTTCCAGTCTGGTTGTTGGCTGGAGACTGACAAGAACCAAAAATGTGTTATTTTTACTTTTCATTTTCCCCCATGTCACACATCCACACAACCGAGTCTTTTAGATGAGAAAAATCACAGCAACTTGGGTTCTCCTAATGAAAAGATGACTTTTTAGCCCTGTTTGCTTTGATGAAGAAAACAAAACACAACACATGAACCCCCAGGCAGGCATGGCACTCGTGTAAATGGACACGATTAGTACAAAACCAGTAAGGCATCTCTTTGGGAAGGTCAGCACCGAAGAGGTCAGGCTAGGCTCGTCCTGACGGAGGCCGGGGCTGGGGCTGCTGGCAAACTATGGCCACTCTGCTCCTGCTGAGTCGCGTTGGTTCCCGAGAAAGTGCAAGTCTTTTTTGCAAGGTGACATCAGCACCCACCTGCAGTCGGGGCTGGGCAGCTCGAGGTACAGACGTGCTCCAAAGCCTCCAGGACGAGGAAGACAGACAGGGCTAGCCGCAGCTCGCCCGTGTCTCGAGGACAGGATCCCCGTCCACTTTACAGAGACACAAAGATCCCAGCTCCAACAGCAGGAGGTGAGCATGTGGAGCTGTTCGGATGGCCAACTGAAAACCAAAAACTGAACAGGACCAAACCGAAACTCAACTCCTGCGGTTCTTACTTTCGCCAAAGGATTGATTCTGACCACGAAAGGAGGGAGGAACATCTTCAAAATCAATGAGTCAGTCGAAGAGAAATGCGATGTCATTTTCAAAGGGGGCACTCAGTTCTTCAAAGTAGAACAATTCTCACCATACACAGTGTTTGAGAAAAAGAAAACCAACCAACTTGACTCACAATCACATAAAAAGGAAACAGACATGGGCCGCTCTGCATGGCCAGTCACATCTGCTCGTTCACTCTCTCACTCCTTCACTCACACGTATGGGTTAATCAGAGGCTGATGGATCTGAAAGGTACAGCTGAACCGGAAACAGGCAAAAATACCTCTCGGAGAAGGAGAGCACCATTAATAAAAGAAAAAATAAAAAAGCGTCATTCATTTTTTCCCAAGTTTTCCCTGTGTTGTAGCTCTGTAGTCTGTTAACCAAAGCAACTGCCATATTTAGCACCGGTTTTCTCTGCAGCTGGCTGGGTGGAGGAGGGGGTTGGCATGGACGTGACCCAGTCTGGAGGGTCAGTGATGATGGGAAGCGAGGCTGTCTGCTTTTCCAACTTTGCTCCAGTCTCTTCTGTCCCTGGGCAGCTCACGGTAGATGTTATTTGGCTTCAGAGCTTCTAGTGGGTTCTCTTTCTTTTCCCTTTTCATGTCAATGGTGATAATCCTTTCCCGAGAAGTATCTTCAGTGTCTTAGGGAGGTCACAGCAACAAGGCAGAAGAGAATCATTAAAATAAAACAAAACGTAGTGCAGTTCTTTCTCACTGTCGGAAGGAAGTGGTCCCAAGGTGGCTGCACTGGGGGGCCTGCACCCAGGCCACGGCTGAGGGACGAGAGATACTGGTGTTCCTACAGCTAAGGGCTGCGGCTAGAGACTGGAGGCTGGCTCAGGAAGTCATCTTCAAGACGGAGCAGTGGGTATGGGTGGAGTGGGGTGAGGGGAAGAGGTGGTGGGCTGGCTCCATGGCCAGGACCCTATCACAGCGTGGACTCCAAGGATGAGTCTAGGATGTCATCGTGATGGCTGTTGCTGTTGGAGTCGCTGTCATAGCTCTGGGGGCTGGAGTAGTTGGCAGCTTCCTGCAGCCTCATCAGCATGTTCATCTGGGGGAAAAGCAAAGAGTGTTAAAGCCTTATTAACCCTCAACTGTAGCATCTTAAAAGCTCAGGCTACTTCCTCCACTCCTTCTGGGACGACAGCAGCCCACAGCAGAGGCAGAGGACGAGAGTGGGGACTCTGTGCCAGGCTTCCAGGGTTCACATCCTGACCTCACTGCTTACCAGCTTGATGGCCTACGGACATCCTTGTGCACTAGTTTCTTTATCTCTCAACTGTGTGTGCTATAAGTCTATAAGGCTATGGCTTAGGCAGAGTTAATATATATATAAATAAATAAATTTTAAAAAGAAGCTACCTACAAACATTATTTTTTATTTGGGAGGCAGGTGTGGCACTTAGCCTGGATGATAACCTCTATCAGGGCCCTGCCTCTGGACAAATTATCAGCACCACTGATATGAGCCCAGAGCTTCAAGTGTTACACAACTGGACCTGGAGTCAACTGTGCTTCTGGGCAGGGTAAAGGCTTTGAGGGAGGGAAAGAACACATCAGCCACAGGCACTGTCAGAGAGCAGACAGACTTCAACCGCAGTTCAAAGATTCTGGGACAAATTACCCCAAGCGTCTGAGTCACCATTTCCTTATCTATACAGTACGGAGAGCAATGGTACTTGTCCCAAGGGGTTGACACAGGGGCACAATATGCATTAAGACTTTTTAAGAGGGTCTGCCTGACACAAGTGCTCAGTAAAGGTGATCTGCTAACATTTTCATCATTATCATCTGCCTTAAGAGACCTTAAAGATGGTGTTGCTGAGTCTCCCCAGTCAGTACTTCATTTGTCTGGAGTCAGCATGTGTGGAAGAGGAGAGCTACTTCTATGCTGCTATTGTCACTAGCAGCCCAGCTGATTCCCTGAATGGCACAAATAACTATGAGCCTGTACCTCGGCGAAAGACCTGGGAATCTATTTCTGACAGACTACAGCCTTTGAGATCCCATGGAGCCGTTCTATGCTGCACACATGGGGCTAGCATTTCATGCATGACTTTATTGTTGCATAGTATTCAATTGTATGTATGCACCGCATTTTGTTTTTCCATTCATCCACTAATGAACCAGTTTCCATCTTTTTGCTAGTGCGAATGACGTGGCAACGAATGGGCATATGGCTATTAGTGGTCACTGCTGTTACTTTTCTAGGCTATATTCCTAGGGGTGAGATTGCTGGATCATATGGGATTTCTATTTCTAGCTTTTTAAAGAAGTG